CGACGAGGACGTCGAAGGGATAAGTGGGGGAGAATGTCACGGACAAACTTCGAAACAGGGTGTTTGATGTAATGCTTATGTATGTCCGTGACATTTGGCATGTTCATGCCTTGTACAACATGTAGAGGGGCGGCCGAAGGCATAATAGTCCCATTTTAGTTGGGTTGGTGGCCTCTTTAGGCTTGTAAATAAAGGTTGTGTCATGTGGACACGTGCGAGAGCTTTTCGGTCTGTAATGGACCATTTTACCCTTTGTTGTGCCACTGTTCAGAGCTTGTAAAGTCTGTTTGTAATTTGCATTGTCTATGAAGTGTTTTTCGGACATGTTTGCTTGTGGATCCCGATTGAGGTGTTCTCTTTAACCCGTTCTCTCTTTTGTTGGTCCTAAGGGACAATGGGAGGCTTCGGGGAGGTTGACCTTTGCGGACGGACGCGCAAGAGTGCCGCACGACTTAGGCAAAACCAGCTAAGTACGTGTCACTGCGGCCTGCTTGTACAATGGAGAACAAGCAAAATCCATGCAAAATGAGTTTGTTGGACTGTCACACGCCTCGATATTTACATTTGATTGTCCATGAAAGGGTGAGGACAAACAAAAAAAGGGCCAGTGCGAGCTTGTTGCAACTGTCCATGTCAACATGCAACTTTGCTTCCATGAGCAGAGATTGTTTCCACTACTCAACCCTTTGTGAAATACAAGCAACCTTACCATGATACCAAGGCTTATCCTCTATCAATCATACTGATAGATATTACATTTTAAACATCTGTAAATAATTTTTAGTGGTATACTAAGGTACAGCATACCACTTTGACTACAGTTTAGCACAAGTGCCAACACCGTATTCGAGTCCATGATTAAGAAGTAGTTAAAAGCCATAACTTGCCAAGTTCTTAGGGTCTAAAGATCATTACTTTAGCAGCAGGAATTCTTTTACATCATCTTAAGTTAGTGTCACGAAAATAAGACATTCTAATTGTAGGATTTTACACTGCTGATGCACAGTTTGAATTAATTTGAAGTCTCACTAAACTATTAGGCAAGGATTTGTATAAAAAAGAGAACACCATCAAATGTGGATGAATCAAACTAGCTTCGGTGGCTTTGGCAAGACTGGATATCTGTCATCAGAAAGAAAATGTCTTTGGCCCATATGTATACTGTTCCATGAGCTATGCAGGCAGTTCAAATGAACTATTCGATGTTATTGACTGGACAAGTTAGTACTGTATTTTTTGTGCCAGGCTGCTAATTAGTCTGAACATTTTCGATGCTTTACTCAAGGAGTTTGATTGAGTGTTTCAATAATTGCATACATTAACCTTCATGTTTCTTTTCTCAGCATGTTCAAGAAAGAAAATTGAGCAACTAGATTCATGCTTATTATTTCATTAACTTGCAGTAATTGAGAGCATGGGGTATGCATAAGAAGAACCATTACGTCTGTGAATCATTGACCACTGAAAGGTCAGTATATGAATTAGATACTTAATGATGACATTGAACATCTTGTTCATACATGATCTTATCTATCTGAAGAAACATGGAACTGTTAATTATTTCAACCTCATTTTATATGTTTAATGTGTATATAATTACCTTTTGTGTGTGAATTCTGATTATTTTTTGATCCATCTCTGCTGGTTTATATAATCAAGTTGTCTTCTGGTTTCATGCAAAGCCTAGTTTACTGCTTACTGGCATATCTCTGCAGTGTGGAGTCCTGGAACCGAATTGCTTGTCTACACCTTACATTAAGAACGGCCCAAAATGGTAGGTTGACTTTCTACCCCTGTTAACTTAAACGTTGTCATTGGAGCTGGCAAATTTATTTCTTCAGCTCAAGGTACAAACCAAACTAACGTAGTGAGGAAGTAAACATTATGTTTGTGCTTGCATCTAGTTTACCTTAACTAATCAGTGACAGTCTTGAAACTATTCAATTCAAAAATGCATCTTATCTCATGAACAATTATTCACAAATCTACTTCTTTAACCCAAATTAAAAAAAAATGAATAGTTGATGTTGTCCATACTACATCAATATATTATTGTCTGAACATGGTTGCATGGTGAAAGAATGTCTTCCAATGCTGTGGAAAGTCCAAGCAGAAAACATTGTCAACTGTAGACAATTCAGCCTGTTCACATTACACCTCGATCATTTTCTGGTTTAAAGTAAAATATCTCCGCCTTTCTTTCTCTACAAAATCTGCATCTAGGAACTTAGCAATAAAAGTCCAAAGTCTGTAAGCATCCTCAAAGTTAGTAAGGAAACTGAAGGATGCATTTAGAACATCTATTCCCATATCACTCCTTCCTTTCCTTTTGTTACTTGCAGCTGTTACTTCACAGGCTCTTCTCTCCAAGACTTTGTCCTTCTCAGCTTCATATTTGTCTGGGAACCAGATATTATTTAGAAACCCACGACTAAGAGAAATGTTGCTTCTATCTGCAAGCTTTTGTACCATTTCAGGCTCGATCTTCTCTCCCCTCCAGTCAAAGACATTGAATGCTAGTGCAGGTCCCCTGTCAAATTTTATTCGTGGACCATAGATCCTGACGAGGTAATGGCCACTCTCTGAGTGAGGATGCTGCAGCTTCATCAAAGCAATCACCAACCAATTTACGATGCATCGTAATCTGCTGTTTATGTGTAGCAAACCTAGAGAGTCTGCATGGTCCAATCCTCTGCACACGATCTCCATGCTCTTGTCTGCTTCTGTAATAGTCATGCTCTTCTCTTCTTGAATGGAATGGCCACATTTTGATAATACAATATCTGATGATATTTCTTTGTTTTCATCATTTTCTTTGGAACTCTCACCCTGCTCAGATCTCTTGACTTGCTTTTGTTTTTGTGTAGAAGCAGTTTCTCCAAGCATATTATCCATACCAGCAGAGTCATTACAGATATGTGTCGATATTGGACCAGAGAACGAATTGGTGGTCTCAGTATCATCTTCGTCAAATTGGTTTCTAGAGGAATGAACATCCAAACCTGTTCCTGAATAATCATCAGTCAGTTGTGACAGCCTTCTTGCTGGGATGATGCTCACAATTCCGATGCTCCTAGCAATTGTCGATGACTCCAATGCTGCAATGCTGGACTTTTTGATGAAAAGGCCTGCAAAACCCGATGGATTCTCTCCAAACACTTTGAAGAAGGAGCAGATGATGAAGTCTGGTTGGATCAGTGAGAGGCCAAGGGTGTCCAGGTCCTTCGGCCCTAGAGCACATGCGTCGAGTACCACGTGCCATCCATGTTCTTTGGCCACAGTCATCCATAGATAAGGGTACCTGGCCCCTGAGATTCTGGACTGGAGTGGAAACACAAACAGTCCTCTGCTTTTCTTCTTTCTCTTGCTCAGCTTCTCCATCAATTTTCCAGAATGAATCCTGAGGCTTGGCCACGAGAAGCTAGCAGACATGACTTTGGCTCCTCTCCTTTGGGCGCTCTCAATTATCGCATTCACGGCCTCGCTCTCATAATCATATACACTTAGCAAACCCTTGTTGGCATGGAATGGATAGGATTCTGCCAACAGCCTGAAAGCAGTAGTCCTATTGGCAGTACAGACCATGCTGTATTCACCATCCAGTATGTTGAGGAATTGCATGATCCTTTTTCTGATTGCTGCTTCTAGAAGAGTATCTTGGTTGCCATACTGCACTTGAGATTTCAAGCTTGCCGACTTGTAAGTGATGCTGAAGAATGGAGGCTGCAGGAGGCCCCAAGGCAGATGATCAGTAGATGAGGACGGTATGGAGGAATGCATTTGTGCATGGGAAAAGAGGCTAAATCCACAGTAATCAAGGCAGACATGATCTGCCAGGTGATAATATTCGTTGTTCCTGATGCGATCTGCTTCTTGCGTCTCACCATACTGTGGATAAATTGTGATGAAGCTGGAGAGGGCGTCAGGGAGGTCAGGCAGGGACTCATGGTTGGTGAAGCGGGTGTTCGGGAAGACAAAATCCTTCGTCAGCTTAGCAAAATTCGATCGTGAGATCCTCGTAGTGGTGGTTCTCGTGTGGTGCTTAGTGTTGCTGGGCTCGACGAGGTTGAATAAAGACACCGGACAGCAGCCACGGGTGCTTCCCTCTGAACCATCCATGGTGCGAGGAGATTGCCTACCTATCTGGTCTTTCCCTCCCTGTTCTTCCTTGTGACTTTCTTTGTCTCCTCCGGTAGCCTTTGGTGGCCTTCTGAGGTACCTGCGGATGAAGAAGAGCATGGCATTTCACAGGTAGGAGGGAAGGGGCTGTCAGGGAACTCATGAGATTACTCAAGAAGAAGCATCTTTTTTGCTTCTGATATCTTCTAAGCAGGAGTTGTTGATCCTGGGACATCTGATGATGCTCCTATGCCCTTATAGCACACCAAAAATGTCAGAGTTAGACCAACTGCTGATTTAGTCAACAACTTCTGATACCTTGACCGGAAGATGGTAATCATACATAATTATGACTGGTTCTTTGATGGATGATTTCCTCACTTGGTAGCCATTCGATCTTTTGGTTATGGTCCACCTCCATCCTTCAAATTATTGGTGCCTACAGGAACCATTTCAGTCTTCAGAGAGATTGGGCCTGCTTTCTGCCGTATGCAATAAGATTTTTGCACTCCTACAGGGGAAAATTTTTTGCAAGTTGTTCTTGTCAAGATTTTGGATTATAAATGCCAACCGACGTAAGATTACAAATACAAGTGGACAAGGTGGTCATTGTAATGGACAGCTACAAGCAAGCCTTGATGGCGGCCGCTAGCCTACCACGGCAAATGACTTGTAGCTGATTTGTTCGACATCTACTCAACCGTAATTGTTGACCCGATCTATCAGCTCAAACATCCTTGCTAATTAATAGGATGCTTTTTTAGGTAACCATGTCCTGCTTCATATTTTGATTCCAGATTGTAGTAGTATCTCAGAAATGTTGTGCTTCTGCTTCTTCTGGCTAATGGTCAACTTGAAAACAGGTAGTCCCTGTTGTGAAGAGCAAAACCAATCTCTTTTGAATATGTTTTTGTTATCTGTTTATTCCTGATGACATAACCAGGGTTCCTTTCCTATCTTCATGCAGGTCACATGAACCAGGCACCTTTCACCTTATGTTCAGCCTCACTCTTCCCTGTGACTACTTTTTGAGAGAGAGCCAAAGGATCATTTGCTAGACGGTGGAAAGATAGAGTTGAGAGAATCTTTCAGAGCAGGTGTCCCATCCCATGTCTCACCGTCTGCTCTTTTCCTGTGGCTACAGGCTGCTGTGGACTCCGGTGAGCAGCTATGGAAGCAAGCCTGTTCACTGTGCCGTGCAGTGCAGTGGAGCAGATCAGCTATGGGTCAATGGGCTGACTCAAGGAGGATCAAGGGACCCACCACGCATAATTTGTTTCCACCTCTCACTGCCTATGCGTTGATCGGAGAAACAACACGGGGTCCACACGGGTAACAGTGTCTTCACAAAGTGTTTGTCCCGATACCTATGAATCATTGAGGTGTTGGACGTGTTGACTTTTCCAGGACCGCTGACCACGCCCGCCCTTGTTCTTATCCGAGTCTCCGATGGCCCCCACAAACAAAGGAAGAGTGTCTGGTGAGTACTCTTAAAATCATATTCTTTTCAAGGATTTATTCTTCTTTTAAGATTAAATAGTTTAAGATAAAATCATGTCTCTATTTATGATCTTACCATCTTGCATTCGAGGTTCTTACTAAACATCAATCAAAATCTGTCCCATCATCAATCAGCTAAACTAAGGGTTTTTAGATTAATCGATTTAGATGATGCGGCATCCATTGTTGTGATCATGGTTACTAATTGTTGTGATCACAGCATAATGGGCTGGACTCAGATCGGGCCGGGTCGTTTCATCTTGGACCCGATTGTAACTGGATCGGGTTGGATCTCTTATTTGGATTGAAAGCAATTAGTAGCTCAACATGACTGTCGACACAATTTATTAAAGCAAAACCACGATATTAATTCCAATATTATTGTATGAATCTAATTAATAACCTAACATGATGAAAGGCTGTAAAGTTGTGATGATAGATTCTTGTACTCTCTCCAACTTCTTATATCGAAGCAATCATGACCTAGAAATCATACGCCTTGCCTTGTCACAAGCTACGCCACTCAAAGGTGTGCGTTCAGGAAGCCTCCAGCGTGTCCCCGCGTCATGATCCCCACCGCCCACATCGGACGCATGTACGTGTTCCATGATTGGTGTCCGAGTGGGTCATGACGATGGGTTCCGAGGCCGACGCTCCGTGCGCGCGTGCACGTCAACCGTCGTTCAACTTTGACCACTAAGAAGAATCTACCGATTTGAAAGAATTCCCCCGTGGGGGCAGGCGACAAGAAGACATTCGTATCGATCGACTCATCGGGTGACACGTGAGCGACTCATTTCGACAGAGGTTACGTGGCGGCTGGACAGTGGGTCGATGGGCCAAAACCATGCTCGTCTTCGAACATGCGATCTGTTCTGAGGATATTTTGGTGGGTGTAGGGTAGCTTGGAATTTTGCAGTTCAAATATCCATTATCCACCTTTTAATGTCCCCTAAAAAAGGAAAACACACAGACACATTGTCATGTTCATGTTATTTAGGTCAGAAAGGGGACACCTCAATTACTGAGTGGACTAAAAAGAAAAAAGATATATCTTATCAATTTTTTATATTTATTTTTTTTAATTCATATATATATGTATATTTATATGTATATATATAAAGAATCTTAATATTTGGAAGAATATATCTGTTATATTAAAATTCAAAATGATAAATATATTATTTTCATATTTAACAACTATATATATGCAAGATTTCCTGAGAAAAGAAACAACAAAATCTTTTTTTTTATGATAGGATTATTTACTACAAGTATATTATTATGAATACTAATATTCTTTAGCACTTCTACTACTATTCATCCTTGATTTCATTTATGGCTACAATCATTTGAGGTTTCTATACGATTATTCCATGATCAAACAATGCAATCTATGGCTTGGATGCAAACACCAGTAGCCATCAGCACAACCATTGCAAATTTGGATCACTTGTTCATGTTCCCATCACTGTCCATGGAGCAAATGGATTCAGCAAGAAGCTCTTAATGGAGCGTTGCACTCAAAGTAGTTAGGGAATCTCAATCAACACAAGCTTTTAATTCGTTATAATTAATGCTCTCAATGAGAGATCATGATCATCTCTTCATACTACAAATCTTACAATAAATCATTAGATATATATATATATATATATATATATATATATATATATATATATATATATATATATAATCTTTAGAACAATGAGAAAAAAATCTTTTTTATCTCTTCCAAAAATAAACATAAAATATCAAAATTGAAGTGAAAGAACAAATGAGAAAGGGTGATGATATATAAATCAATAAAGAACTCCCCCCACCTACTTATATATATACAAGCTAATTACCTTAGCTATATTTAACATTTCGATTCTTATATTTTTTAAAAAAAAATTATATTAACATCCCTATAGTTACGAGTATAAAACATCTATATTTATTTATCATAATATTATTGATTTATCAATAAAAATAAAAGATAAAAAGATAGTTTTAATGTTTCAATTAGTGGTGAAGGACGGCACCAGTGGTGATAGAGATTAGCGTCGCTTGGGGCTATATGTTGCTTTTATTGATGAGAAGAGTAGCGACAAGAGGTGAGGGTTGTTTTGTATTTGTATTAACCCCGATGTAATTGTTGAGCGACGAAAGAATTATCGATGCAAATACGGAGCGGTGTCACTTTGCAACTACGTTGACGTCGATGGAGATGTAAATTAATACCACTTAGCATCTATATTGATGGTTTTCTTTATCGTTCAACGACTATATCAACATCAACGTAGATGCATAGCAATTTTTATCTTTATCGTTATTCTTTTTATCCATAACAATCATTCCGTGACTCTCATCGACGTCATTATCTGTTATGTTCACCACTAACAATTGAAACGTTAATATTTTTTTTTATTTATTATTTTTATATTTTAGTTAATAAAATCAATGATGGTAAGATAAATAAAGATATTTTATTTTTATAATTATAAGGATATTAATGTAACAATTTAAAGAATA